TTACTGTTTTTTAAAAAAGGGAAAAAAGTCAAAGACAATTTTCTTAGTATTTATTATAGAAGAAGTACATGCCATGGGTCCTCTCATAAGCAATTTAATGAACCTGATGTAAATGTCCTCGATTTATATTTTGCAAAAGTTAACAAAGTAATATGTAAATAATCATTTCTCTGCCTACTTTAAAGGCTTCTATATCATTGTACCCAAACCTCATAAAGGTATTTCTTTTGGCAATCAAGGACATGTAATTAGGGTTCTTGGTTGAAGATCCAATTATAAAGTGAAGGCATTTAAGCAGTTTTGCTCCCACAACTGATTTTTTTAACCCTTGTGAAGAGAACTCACCTCAGTTGATTGTACTTACTTGAACACTGAGCACCAACATATATGCAATATGTCTATTTCCCACTAATATTAAAATATTAGCCCTCGAAACCCGGTACAGTAGATAAAACAGTGGGTATTTGATCACTGTTTGTTGAACTGAAATAAAAATCCTAAAGAAAAATATAGTTATTGGGCCTCCCAAACTAGAAGATGCCAATCCTATATATACATATTTTTTCAGCTTAGAAATACTGATTCCCTGGTTACAGTTCAGTCCTAAATATCTGCAGTTAGAGTTTGGAAATTTGGGCTCCTAAGAACCTCCCCACTGAATCTGTTTCAGATGCAGGAAAAGTCTGAAACAGAAAAGGGAAGTGAAGAATACAGCAAAACAAAAGGTAGAGGTTTCATGGTGTGTGTGTGGTGGGGGGGATGTGCAATACCATAGGAAGTGTGTGAGGTTGCAGCACTGTGTCCCAGAAGACTGGGACAAGGGCTGCAAAGCCATCAGAAACCCAGGACTTTCTGCCTCATCTCCTCGGCTTCTTTTCTCCCATTGCTCTCAATCTACAGACAGGCTTATTTTGCTTTTCTCTGCACCTGCCCATTATCCAGTCCTCAGCTTTACATCATCTCAGTGCCGGACACACACACACACACACACACACACACACACACACACACACACACA